AATATTATAGGCAGAAACATGGGTGTGCTATGGGGTCTCCAGTTTCTCCTATTGTTGCCAACCTGTACATGGAGGAGGTAGAAAAGAGAGCCTTGACGTCCTTTTCAGGGACACCACCAAGTCATTGGTTCAGGTATGTTGACGACACCTGGGTTAAAATCAAATCTCAGGAAGTCCAACATTTTACTGACCACATCAACTCTGTGGATAAATACATCAAGTTCACACGAGAAGATGTAAAAAATGGCAGGTTGGCTTTCTTGGACTGTGAGGTCTCAGTCTCTGATAGAGGACATTTGCAAACTGAGGTGTACCGCAAACCCACCCACACAGACCAGTATTTGCAGTTTGACTCCCATCACCCTTTGGAGCACAAGTTAGGAGTCATCAGGACTCTGTATCACAGAGCAGACAGCGTCCCCATTAGCTCAGGAGCCAGGCAGAAGGAGAAATCCCACACAAGACAGGCTCTAGAGCAATGTGGATATCCTAACTGGGCCTTCCTGAAAGCAGAGAAGAAACCCAAACAGGACTCCAGTCAGCCAACAGGTGAAAAGGAGGAACCCAGACCCAGACCAGCGGTCATTCCATATGTTGAGGGAGTATCAGAGAAACTGAGACGTTTATTTTCAAAACATAGCGTCCCAGTGGCTTTTAAACCCCAAAATACATTACGGCAAAGACTGGTTCATCCCAAAGATCCAGTCCCCCGGCACAAACAGAGCAATGTTGTGTATGCTGTTCAGTGTCAGGAGGGCTGTGATCAGTCTTACATCGGGGAAACTAAACAGCCACTGGCCAAAAGGATGGCCCAGCACAGAAGATCAACATCATCAGGCCAGGACTCTGCGGTCTACACTCTTCTCCAGGCCAGCGGTCACTCTTTCAGGGATGAAGATGTTCACATCCTGGACAGAGAGGAACGATGGTTTGAGAGAGGAGTAAAGGAGGCCATCTTTGTGAAAAGAAACCGTCCATCATTAAACAGGGGTGGAGGCCTCCGTGTTCAACTGTCCCCCTCTTACAATGCTGTGATTGCTAGTATCACTCAGCCCTCTGTGAATAGTAAACAGCCATCAGTGTGCTAATGATCCATTGTTAGGCTGATGGTCCTTCTTGAGCATGTGATCAGCTGGTTTTGGTTGTCAGCAGCAAAACTGGTTGATCCACGCTGAGAAGGTGCTATTTAAGAGACCGAGCTGAATACAGCACCTCAGACTGAGGAAGTCTCTCGGATGAGAGACGAAATGTTTCTACATTTTTTTGTTGATTTGCTTTGTTTTGTTTTTTGAATGTCCAGAGGACCAGATTTAACTTTTTTAGATTTTTCTACCTGGATTATTGAGCATGCATCAGGATAATGTGCGCTCTCCTGACCGTAAAGCTCTGCTGGGCTGGTGGACTTTCAAAAGTTCTGAAATATAGGGTGGTGCAAGGCCATTCAAAGCTTTAAAAACAAACAGTAGCAGCTTGAACTGTGTCTTGAACTGAACTGGGAGCCAGTGCAAAGAAGAAAGTACACGAGTGATGTGTTCATGTTTACGTGTGTTAGTCAACAAGCGAGCAGCAGAGTTTTGTACAAGCTGTAAATGGGAGATAGAAGATTGATTAATACCCACATATAAGGCGTTACAGTAATCAAGCCTAGAGCTCACAAAGGCATGGATGGCCTTCTCCAGATCACTACGGCTAAGGAGTGACTTTACTTTAGAAAGCAGACGGAGCTGGTTTTCACAACAGAACTGATCTGTTTATCTAGCTTTAAGTTACAGTCGAGCTCCACTCCTAGATTTTTTACCACCTGGTTGGAGTGGGGGAGCGGAAAACCTAGACTGGGAGAGATGTTGCATGAATTACTGGAAGCACCAAATAAAATCCATTCAGTTTTATCGTTATTTAGGTGGAGAAAATTCTGAGACAGCCAGTGCTTAATTTCGTTTAAGCAGCTGGCAATAGAATTTAAACTGAGTGAGGAACTGGGAGTGACCAGCAGATAGATTTGTAGATCATCTGCATACAGATGAAAAGACAGATTATGGCGTGCAATGATGAGTCCTAACGATAGCATGTAAAGTGAGAAGAGAGCATGCCCCAGAATGGATCCCTGCGGTACGCCAGAGGTCAGAGAGATTGATGAAGAGGATAGATCACCTATCATAACAGAGAAAGTTCTGTAAAGTTCTATAAAGTCTTACAAACAACTACTGAGAGTTATTGCTGCTGAACGTGGTTGTACAAGTTGTCGAGTCATGAAGTGAACCTGTGTTTTCACAAAGTTTTCTGTTGTGGCTTATTGTTTTTTTTTTTAATTAATAAATAATGGCTTGATGGAGTCTGTTGTCTGTTTTTGTACACTTGTGGTTAGATTTAAACAGATTTAAAACCTGGTAAGGGCATCGTTTTCATTACGTCTTAATACGTGAAAAAAAGTTTCACTTGGTTTTTAACCTTTAGGCAAACCCCACGGACCTCACAGGTCTCTTGCAAGGGAGGCCTGGGCCTGAAGCCTAACGTGGTTTTGCACTGTGGGAGAAAACCTACAATTGAAAGAGGGTGGACTTGTTTGTTCTGTGACTGTAGCCCAGCACGGTGGCTCAGTTGGTAGAGCTGCCACCTCTCAGCGAGAAGGTCGCCGGTTCAAATCCCGGATGGGGGCATTCCTGGGTGGAGTTTGCATGTTCTCTCTGTTACAACGGGAGCTGGATGTGGGTCACGGGTCATTGCAGCTAGCTGTTGCTAGCCGTGGGCCTCAGGCCTCCTCTCAGACCCCAGGTCCACCTCCAGCCCACGCTGTTCCCCCGGCTCGGACCTCCCTCAGAAGCGGCAACTCACACTATCAATAAATCAAGGAAATGTGAATTCAATTTTACCAACTGTATTAAATCAAGGCAGGAGAAGGTTCCAGTTTACAGCGCTGGCCGGTTCCGGTACCCGACACGAGATCAGAAACCTGAAGGGCCAGATGTCCTGTGGCATTACAGATTTATAGGGTCTAGACTCCTCCTTCACAGAAGGAGAGCACAACATACCAGTGTATGAGGGGAGGGAGGTGTGGTCTTCTTTGGACCTTATGTGAGTTAACGTGAAAGTAAAAAATGAGACGATGCTTAAAAGCCTTTTCTGTGATGCAGTAAGCAAAATAAACTATTCCTTGACGGATATTGAATCCCTGGGAGACTCTTTTTAGAGTTGCTGGCCCCATTTAAACCAGCCAGAACCAAGTCATAATTTCATTATAATCCCGCTTCTGATTCTAACATCTCCGTGCTGCGTGGATTTTCTCCGGGTACTCCAGTTTCCTCCCACAGACCAAAAACATGCATGTTAGGCTGATTGGTAACTCTAAATTGTCCCTAGGTGTGAGTGAGAGAGTGAATGGTTGTTTGTCTCGTTTGTCTCTTTGTGTCCCTGTGATGGACTGGAGACATGTCCAGTGTGTCCCCCACCTCTCACACAGTGACAGCTGGATATGGACACCAATGACCCCTGTGACCCGAAAAGGAAGAAGTTGGTAAAGAGGATGGATGGATGGATGGATGGATGGATGGATGGATCCATTTATTTGAATGAGAATCTCAACACCATGTTTGCTTTAGGAATATCAGGAAAGGTATTACAATCTTCTTGTGATTATTTATTTCTTCTTTATTGCAGCCATGTCAGACGTTGAAGAGGAATATGAGTGAGTAGAACAGTATCTAATTTGATGGAACTTGTTTTCGCTTTATTCCAATGGAAATTCACAAATCATTATTAATGATATTTTATGTGCTTGTCTTTTTTTCCTGGTCCCTGCAGGGAGCAGACAGAGGGTAATTTCATGCTTTTTATTTGTTTAATGTATTGCGTCTCTTCAAAGATGTCAAAATCTCAAAATTGTAGTTCTTGTTACTGATCATTAGTTGTTGGGGTTTCTCTCTAGAAGTTGAGGAGGAGGATGCTGAAGCTGAGCTGCAGGAGGAAGCTGAAGAGGAAGGCAAGTTCAAGGGAAGAAAGGCTCAGTTGTAAAAACTAGAATCGGTTGAAAAGCTTGCATGTCTTACCAGGAGCTGTACAATTCCTCCCCCTCCTATTAATGTGGCCAAGGGTTACACTCATTTATCTTCTTTTCCCTACTTTCTCCCTGGATGTTCACCATGTTGTTCCGGACCACCAGAGCAGCAGGAGTACCGAGGTAAGACGCACAGCAAGAGTCCTCCAGTTAATCCTAAACATTACAGCCTGATGCAGGTTTCAATCTCTCAACATGCGTGTTTTAACAAGAAGAGGAAAATATAAAACCACGCCTGAATCTTTGGCTGTGTTTTGTTTCTGATTTTGTAAATTATGCAGTTTTTGAGAATATATTCCCGTCATTTTGAAGTAGGGTACTATGTAAACATTAAGAAGAATCAATATCTTATCTGTTGTAGATACAGTCGCTCTTAGAAAGAGCTGAGTTAGAAACAAATTACAGTTTAAACCTAATAGGACCCATGAGCTAATGCTAGTCCAAGCACTGCCAAGATCAGAGCAGACTGATACCTTCTTCTTTTGGGGCGGCTGTGGCTGACTGGTTAGAGCAGTTGTCCCTCAATGGGAGAGTTGGGGGTTTGATTCCATCAGCAGTCACATGCCGAAGTGTCCCTGGGCAAGACACTGAACCCTTCACTGCCTCCGATGTGTGTCCCATCAGTGTATGAATGTGATAAACTCTGATTAGTCTTTGTATAGATCTAGTATAGAGCTGTATGAACGGGTAAATGAGGCACAGATTGTTGTAAAGAGCTTTGAGTGTCTTGATAAGATAGAACGGTGACGTATAAATACAGTCCGTTCTTAAAACTATTCCAATCTCAAGTGTTTCATAACGGCTCGTGCAAACACGTTATGAACTTCTGCATTACTTTTATTTGTCCGTGCACAATTATTTACTTGGAATTCTCTGCTTATTTTAAGGTGCAACCAGAAGCAGCTCGCTGTAGCAGTGTTGACAGGAAGTTCATACATTTTCAGCTGAAATAACTAAGTGATGTGAAACTGATAGTGGTGTAAATGTTTAAACTGGAAAGTTCCTGGAGAAACTTTGATGGGGGCTGCCACGTTGCGGCAATTTAAATTTTTTGATTTGATAGTACTATGTGTTGGGGTTCGCTCTCAGCTACACTAAATTTCAGCTCAATAAGGCAAAAGAGAAGTCATTGAGTTATAGTCTTTTTTTTTAAGCTTTGGCGGCTATCTTGCATTTTTAGATTTGAATTCAGAATGTGCGGTGCATCGCTGTCAGCTACCACCACACCAAATTTCAGCTCAATATATTTTAAAATAGCTGAGTTATAGTAGTTTTCCCCATTTAGCTAAGGCAGCCATCTTGGATTCTTGATTTGCATTGGGATTGTAAAACAAGTTGCTCTCAGCTACGACCATACCAAATTTCAGCTCAATATCTCAAAGAATGACTGAGTTTTGGTCAATTTTGTGTTTTCTGATGTAGCTGTGGCAGCCATGTTGAAACAAAATGGCTCCAAATGTTCATCACTTCTAGAGATACATGTGATGATTACTTTCTGTGAGTTTCAAAATAATCCAACAAGCTGTTCATGAGCTGTGGTACTTAGGAACTGTTCAGTTCTATCGTTGATTTTCAATGAGAAAAAATACGTCTTTGTAAATTATGTCGTCATGGTAACTTGAAATGCCAAAACAAGTAATAATACACATCTCGGTGCCGAGCCGATCGTTTGGATATACTATTTGTGGGGGTACACATTGTGGTTTGGGCCACATTAAAGTTGACAGAGGAGCAAAATCCTTTCCAGGTGGATAATAATAGACGGGTGCCTTCAGGCAGTCTGCGTTAAGAGTGATTGTATGAACCGCTACGAAATATTGAAGATTGGAATAGTTTTAAGATGGCAAACTAGCTTTAGTGCATCAATACTGTCATAGCAGACCCTAAAACAGATTTTTCTGTTCTAAAACAATTCCTATCTTTAGGATACTGTGGCAGGTCATGCAAACTCAGTTAATTAAAATTTCATATTGTCACCAGTTTTGTATTACACGGTTACTTTAGCAGAAACTTTATGATATTCCTGTTAGAAGTGGCACAGGTAAAGGTTGACGGCAGTGTAAAGGTATACAAAAAAAGTTAACGTAAACCGCTGGAAAAAATTTTAGAACATTTTTGTGATCAAAGTTGTTTCAAGATCAGTAAAAGCTCCTGAGGATAAATATCAGTATGGCAGACGTTGATTTCCTGAATTGCTAACCACATAAATTTGACAAATTCTGTGCAAAAAGGTATGTTCATGTGGTTTATTATTTATTTTGTTGCTTTTTTGTGTTCTTTTTCTTCCTTCCTGCGGGATGAGGTTGCCTCACGAAAACAGTCCAATTTATTAACTTAATCAGACAGAAGCCTCCAACTTTCAGAGATAAAATCTGATGGCAAATGAGCACATTTCCACTGCTACAATTATCATGCTCCGCTTTCTTCATTGCCTCGTGCAATCAAGTGTTTAAAGGTGCAAAAACTCAAAACAGAAACAAATGTTATATCTTTCTTGAACTTTAAAAAACAGTCCATTATTATTTTCCCATGTAAGCCTAGAACTGTCATATCATAAAACTATTGTTGAGCTGTATTTCATTATAACAAGAAACTGTGTTGTTACAACGAGCAAAACTATGTCATTATAAAGAGGAAAAACTATATTGTTATAACAAGAAAAACTATGTTGTTATAAAGAGACAACTAATTCATTATAAAGAGAAAACTTTGTCATTATAATAAGAAAACTATGTGGTTATAACGAGAGAATGACATTATAAAACAATGTCGTTATAAAAAGAAAACTGTGTTGTTGTAATGAGAAATCTATGTTGTTATAATCAGAAAACTGTTGTTATAACGAGAAAGTGACATTATAAGGAGAAAAAGTCATTATAACAAGAAAACTATGTTGTTATAATCAGAAAACTGTTGTCATAACGAGAAAGTGACATTATAACAAGAAAACTGTCGTTATAACAAGAAAACTGTCGTTATAACAAGAAAACTATGTTGTTATAATCAGAAAACTGTTGTCATAACGAGAAAATGACATTATAACAAGAAAAACTTTGTTGGTATAATAAGAAAATTATGTCATTTTAATGGGAAAACTGTCTTGTTATAACGAGAAAACTGTCGTTATAACAAGAAAACTATAACAAGCACAAATATGTCATTATAACGGGAAAACTTTGTCATTATAACAAGAAAACAATGTCGTTATAATGAGAAAACTATCTCGTTATAACGTGTTATGGTTTTCTGGTATGACATCACTTTGATGGATGTTTGAATGCCTTGATGGAATGAAGTGATCGAGAAATAGAGACTGCACCACTTCATGCATTTTTATGAAAAAGAAATCTGCAAGAACAACTTTCTAGACTGAAACATGACAAAGTAAGTCACTGAATTGTGTTTTTGAATTAAAGTGTCTGAATGCAGAGACAGAGTGCAATCAGCTGACTGCTAGGGCTACATGTTATGATGCTGGACCAGGTCTGAGCACAAACACAGAAACATGATTTGTTCTTTTTTGTTTTCATAACATAGATCTATATGTTTTGGCAAGACTCAAAAATAAGTGATGTTACGGACAGTCGCGTTAATAATGTATGTAAACACTAGCTAGTAGCCTAAAGACCAATGAAGTTCTCAAACACTGCTTATCTGTATGAATAAGAGAATAAATACTTTCATGTTAGCTTCATTGTAACATGACTATTTTAAACCGAATGAATGTAACATGCTGAACGCAAATGAAATGCTAATCTGTCATTCAGTTATAAAGTATTAAAAGTACAATCCTTGTGCATTTATTTTTTATTGTTTTAATAAATATCAACACTTGTTGCAGCCCCAAATCTCAATTGAGTTGAAAAGGAGGTGCCGTAGATGCATTTCCATCTCCTTGTCGGCTGTGCTCGAGTGCCTGATCACTGAGATCCTGGAACTAGTAGAAACACGGCTCATGACAGCGCAAGGACAGGATCGTCCCTCGGCACCTACAGTTGGCTGTTCGCAGTGACGAGGAGCTCGGCAGACTGCTGGGAGGAGTGGCCATCGCTCTGGGAGGAGTTCTGCCCGGGGGAAGCGAGAGGCCAGCCGAGTCTAGGTGGACGGATCGGATGGCGTCTGCAGCCAGTTTCTTAGGATCCACTATGGGATGGACCTTTACAAGTGATCCTTCCTGCCTACAGCCATCAGTATCTATAACATCTCTTAATGAAATGAGGATAACGAGTTACAACAACAAATAGTTTCCTTTTGGGATTAATAAAGTATTTTTGAATTGAATTAAATTGAATGGATGGTGACAGTTTGGCCAGCTACACTCCACTCTATGGTGACAGAATTGCCACCCGAAGATTTTGCTCAGTTCATCAAAGAAAAGGAGAAAAAGCTGCACAGCGCCAGACACTGTTACATAAACCCTGAAGCCAGATGGAAATTTTGCAAAGATCAATATAATTCTGATCATGAAGATCCAGATGCAGCTCAAAATTTTCCACAAGCATGTTTGAAGAATAACAAGATGGCCACAAGAAAATCAAGAAAAGTTGAACTGGGATGGATCCATGAGGGAAAACAGCACTGCAAGAAAAGTGGGGGTAGAACAAGGAGAGTTGATTTGCCAACGGAATTAAAAACAGCTGACTACGTATATTGCAAAGGAACTGTTCTTTAGAAATAGAAACTCTAATAAAAGGAAATCAGAGGACTTCACTTGTGATATTTTAGATTATCAAGAAGATCAAGTATTAGATGAAGACGTGACAATAGGTGAACTGTATTTCATCCTTCCATCCATCCATCATCCATCCATCCATCCATCCATCCATCCATCCATCCATCCATCCGTCCGTCCACTGGAGTCATGTGGGACTGCCGAGGAAGATGACAGCACACTAGGAGAGCTCCATGAGCCGACAACCTTTTTTTTCACAGATATCTGGAATATACGCATCTCAGTTTATCTGAGTATAAATACCTCTGATACGTTGAATCCTGAAATCCTCCTGAGGGTCCAGATATTAACAATTTATGGAAAAAGTGTCAAGTAACAGCAAAGCAAACTTTTTCGAGGGTGCGGCAACGAGAAGCAAACAAGGACCAGCCCAACACCTGAAAACGCTTCT